ACACCCTGTAGAATCTATTCCTAAACCTAAGACACCCTGTAGAATCTATTCCTAAACCTAAGACACCCTGTAGAATCTATTCCTAAACCTAAGACACCCTGTAGAATCTATTCCTAAACCTACGACACCCTGTAGAATCTATTCCTAAACCTAGGATACCCTGTAGAATATATTCCTAAACCTACGACACCATGTAGAATCTATTCCTAAACCTAATACACCCTGTAGAATCTATTCCTATACCTAATACACCCTGTAGAATCTGTTCCTAATCCTAATACACCCTGTAGAATCTATTCCTAAACCTAGTACACCCTGTAGAATCTATTCCTAATCCTAAGACACTCTGTAAAATATATTCCTAAGACACCCTGTAGAATATATTCCAGAACCTAAGACACCCTGTAGAATATATTCCTAAACCTAAGACACCCTGTAGAATCTATTCCCCTTATTGAGATTGAAAACACTTCACCATCACATCCTGGAAATTTTGCTGTTAAATCCTTGAAAAGGTCAAAATGAGAAAATTCTGAAAATTCGCAATGCAAAATATGTTTAGTACACCAACGTTTAACATGCAAGCATAAATGTACAAACTTCGACGAAATACTTAAAAATATAATCTTTTTAGAAATGTTTCGGAAAATTTTTTATTTAATGAAAATTCCCCCCGGCCCCCCTCAAACAAAAAATTCTGTTTTGCAAAAATGGATTCTAAATGTTTAGTCTCGTAACCTTCCTCAAAATAAATTCGGTCTGTGGTCAACAGAAAAACATTTTTGAATTGAAAAATTTGATTATTTAAAATTGAAAATTACTCTTCCAAGAAATTGGTTGACAAGATAATCCATTTTGAAAAATTAACGATGGGATCAAACTCAAATTTGGTTCAGAATGAAAAAAGGGGTATTTTAGATCAATTTTATTTTTTTTGCAACAAACTCTCCTATTCTGAAAATCAGCTATGTTGATGGTAGACCGTGTTCACGTTTATCATTCTATTAGTCCTTATAGAGAAAACATCTCCCCCCCCTTCTTTTGCTGCCCCCCTTGAGTTAGTGTAAGAAGGTTGCATGATAAATAGGGAGGGGGTGGGGGTAGTGAGATATTTTAATTGACCATATCGAGCAGATCTGTCACCAATCCATAATCCTAGTTAACAATTGAAATTTATGTTTTGGGATGAAGAAGTTTTTTTGAAAGTTGACATTATGTCATTTTAATCCTCCGCGCTCCACCCCAATTGCCTCTCTTTAACAATGTTTTTTTCCCCGAAAATCTGTTTTGTATTTAAGATTCTGTTGGAGATAAACAATAGCAAGGAAACCACGGTAAATGCGTATAATTTTTACGCAATTAAGCGTTTAATGGAGCCTAGCCTAGCACAGTCCATTCATCCTATACTCACATAGCGTCTTAGTTTCAATGTCAAAGAAAATAAATTGTACGTTAAAAGGAAGTGACCGGCAATGTATGGTAGTTAAACTGAGAATGTAGTACTGTGGATAAATTTTTTAAGGTTCATTTGAGACTTATAAAACGTTTTAATAATGTACAATTACTGAGTTTGAGCGCTAAGCCGATGGTAAAGATTATCCATTTGAAGAAATCTGCGAACAAATTTGTAAAGCATAAGAAATTCAATATAATGATAAAAATGAACTATTTGATTTTAACATTGATTTAATGACAAATTTCTATTGTTCCTAAACATTTAGTTGGTTTACTTTTACATTTTTCGTCTGTTCTTAAATAATTTAAAAATCTACTCTTAAAACGTAACCACCCAAATGGATGATGTTGAACGTCGACTTTGCGATCAAACTCAGTAATTTTACTTTATTAAAAAGTTTTTATGTCTCAAATGAATCCTAAAAAATTTCTCAACAACACCATTTCCGGTCAACCCCTTTAATCTAAGATTCTTTCCCTAAGTTATGAAAAAATGTTGTCTATAATTTCAAACATCTAAACATCTATTTCCGGTTTTATCCTTTTCATATAACTACTTTTATTTCCTTTCCCCACATTTTCTTTGTTTTAAGCAGGTCTCGGCAACTTGTTAGCGTGTTTTTTAAACATTATTTAAACCATCCTTCCTCGCTGCTCTCCTCCTAATTATTTTCTTAGTACAAAAACTAGTTGTAATTTCGTCCTACCACCGACCTTGGGGAAGGCATTTGCTAAGGTCTGTTCTAGCATAATGGCTTGTATGCATGATTCAGACAGTTTGTTTTATTATCTTTATTATACCCTATTACAAATAGTTTGAGATATCATCTTTTTCATGAGCTCATACATGTCTTAGAGCCATACAGACACTATTAATAGACACTAGACATTATGTAGATTCAAGATACGGACACTAGACATAATTCAGATAATAGACATTATCAAATTTAGACAGTTTAATGAAACTGAATATCAGAATGAAAAAGACATAAAAATGAAAATTTACATTAAACCGAAAATTTCAACTAGGAAGACATTATATTAAAAAAACTAAACATTTAAAAAAATGACGCAATTTCTTCAACAGACATTATAAGGAAAGTAGACATCAGCAATAAGAGACAATGAATAGCGTACATACATTAATAGACAAGTGTGCAGAAAATGTTCAAATGATAGACATCAAATTAGTTAATGTTTAGAAAATAGACACTTTCGTAGACACTAGACATTTGCAAACAACTACGGATGTTTAAAATATCTTACATATATACTTGAAATATCGGACATATATCCTTGAAATATCGGACATATACCCTTGAAATATTTACCAGAATTTTAACACTAAAAACTAGATGCAGTAGTTTATATTTCAATGCATTTAATTTTTTTATTTCTTACTTTCATGCGAGGCAAAAGAAGATATTTTTAGAACAACCACCCTCCCCCCCCTCGAATTTTGATGAAAAACAGAAAAAGGGAGGGGTTGGGGGGTGCACGGGGATATACTATTATTATATAGACCTTGGCATTTTCTATATCTGAGTTGCATGTTAACTTTTCTCCAGGATACAGATAAAAACCGTTCTCATGTCTTCTTTTTAGGTATTATGACAGGTTCAGAGATATATCTTTAGTATAGATCATCTGTAGGTTCAGGTTCAGAGATATATCTTTAGTAAAGATCATCTGTAGGTTCAGGTTTAGAGATATATCTCCTTTATGGATCATCTGTAGGTTTAAGTCTAGAGATAAATTTTTAGTAGATCCTTTTAGTTTTAATGTTTAGAATATATCTCCAGTAGCTCTCTTGTAGTTTATAGATTTAGGGATATATCTCCAGTATATTTCTTGTAGTTTAGAGGTTTAGGGATATATCTCCAGTAGATTTCTTGTAGTATATAGGGTTAGAGATATATTTACAGTAGATTTCTTGTAGTTAATAGGTTTAGAGATATATTTACAGTAGATCTCTTGTAGTTTATAGGGTTAGAGGTATATCTCCAGTAGATCTCTTGTAGTTTATAGGTTTAGAGATATATCTCCAGTAGATCTCTTATATTATATAGGTTTAGGGGTATATCTCCAGTAGATCTCTTGTATTATATAGGTTTAGAGATATATCTCCAGTAGATCTCTTATATTATATTGGTTTAGAGGTATATCTCTAGTAGATCTCTTGTATTATATAGGTTCAGAGGTATATCTCCAGTAGATCTCTTGTAGTATATAGAATTAGAGATATATCTCAAGTAGATCTCATGAAGTATATAGGTATAGAGATATATCTTTAATAAATCTCTTTTTGTTTGTTATCATATTTAAGATACTAGAAATTCAAGGCGCTTCGCGCCCTTCTTTCTAGCCTTAGAGGGCGCTTCGCGCCCATCTTCTAAATTAATTGTAAACATGTTCTCNGAGGGGAGGGGCTTCCTCGCCACGCCACGCCAAACTCTTTTTACATCTTTTAAATCTTATTAATTCAAAATTTCCGAATTAGTCATTTTTCTCCGTAATTTCCAAGAAACTGTGCAGTGGTACGTAGCGTTTAATACATAATATTGTATTACGTATTGAACAAAAGAGGGCGCTGGCAAATTTAACTGTCGATTAAATAATTAACAATAGGTGGTGCTAGAGGTTCGGTGTAGTAAATTCTAAATGATGTATTGTTCGGATTTCTTTTGATAAATTGCATTCTTACTAGCACTTTCAACACTTAACATTTCTAAAGTAGGATCGATATCTGTTTAACAAAATATTATTCCCCCCCTCCCTTCCGATTATTTTTAAGACGGGGGGGGGAGCTTCACAAAGGGTTAAAATATAAGTATTTTTAAATATTGGCTGTCAAGACATTTTTTTAATTAATACTAAACATTATCGCTTAGATTAATAGGATTAAATAATAAATATAAAGAGAATGGCAACCCTGAGGCGACCATATGTCTAAATTTCTACTGGTTATGATGGCTATATTTATGCTGTACTCTGGTTTAGATATTTAGTCTCAGGGGAGGAGAGGAGGGCGATTTATCTTTGGTTTTAATATCCCTCGCATATACTATCCCTCGCCCGTTCTAGTTTAAATATCCGCCAACATACTATCCCTCGTCCGTTCTAGTTTAAATATCCGCCAACATACTATCCCTCGTCCGTTCTAGTTTAAATATCCGCCAACATACATCCCTCGTCCGTTCTAGTTTAAATACCCGCCAACACACTATCCCTCGCCCGTTCTAGTTTAAATATCCGCCAACATACTATCCCTCGTCCTTTCTAGTTTAAATATCCGCCATTATTCTTTCCCTCGCCGCCTTAGTTTAAATATCCGCCAACATACTATTTCTCGCCACTTCAGTTTAAATATCCGCCAACATACTATTCCTCGCCGCCATAGTAAAAATATCCGCCAGTGTATAATTCCTCGCTGCAATAGTTAAAATATCCGCCAACATACTATCCTTCACCCTTTCTAGTTTAAATATCAGCCAACATACTATTCTTCGCCACCATAGTAAAAATATCCGTCAACATACTATTCCTCGCCGTTCTAATTTAAATATCAGCCAACATACTTCCCCGCAAACAGATACAAATAATACAATCTTATAATTTAAATAATTTCTTAGACCTAATTATTAATTATTATTTGAATCCTCAGATATAAACTTTAGAAGAATAGTTTCAAACAATTTCCTAAAAAGTTTTGTAAACTGTCACTTTTAAGGTTGAAACTTTAATAACTAAGAAGATTTTAGATAGTGTTTCTTGATTTGAATGTTGGTCTAATTAATTATGATTTTCGCCCACGTTCCTCTGGTTTTTATATCTCGAGATTCACATTTCCCCCCGCTTTACTATTGTTCTTTTCTATTTTAACCCTTTGTTTTCTTGCCATTTTTTTTCTCGTTTAAATATTAGTTTTCGGATTTAATTTATTTGGAAAACAAATACATTTTCTAATGAATCTATAATTCATATTCTGTACATTTAAGGATCTTTATTTGGTATATTTTTAAATATGTCTTATTCAACTCATTCGTCTTATCTTAGATACCATTCTAAACTAATTCGTCCTACCCTAGAGTATTCGTTTTATCCTAGATACCATTCTAAACTAATTCGTCCTACCCTAGAGTATTCGTCTTATCCTAGATACCATTCTAAACTAATTCGTCCTACCCTAGAGTATTCGTTTTATCCTAGATACCATTCTAAACTAATTCGTCCTACCCTAGAGTATTCATTTTATCCTAGATACCATTCTAAACTAATTCGTCCTACCCTAGAGTATTCATTTTATCCTAGATACCATTCTAAACCAATTCGTCCTACTCCAGATACCTTTCTAAACTAATTCGTTCTAGTCTTGAAACCTACTTAACTGTTGATCCTACTCCAGATACCTTTCTCAACAAATTCGTCCTACTCTTGAAACCTACTTAACTATTGATCCTACTCCAGATACCTTTCTAAACTAATTCGTTCTACTCTTGTGTTGATCCTACTCCAGATACCTTTCTAAACTAATTCGTTCCACTCTTGAAACCTACTTAACTATTGATCCTACTCCAGATACCTTTCTAAACTAATTCGTTCTACTCTTGAAACCTACTTAACTGTTGATCCTACTCCAGATACCTTTCTAAACTAATTCGTTCCACTCTTGAAACCTACTTAACTATTGATCCTACTCAAGATACCTTTCTAAACTGAACCTACTACTGTTGATCCTGCTCCAGATACCTTTCTAAACTAATTCGTTCTAGTCTTGAAACCTACTTAACTATTGATCCTACTCCAGATACCTTTCTCAACTAATTCGTCCTACTCTTGAAACCTACTTAACTATTGATCCTACTCCTGATACCTTTCTAAACTAATTCGTCCTACTCTAGGTATCTGCTGAGACTGGTCCAAGATATGATTCTCCTCTATTTCTAAACTAATTCGTCCTACTCTTCAAACCTACTTAACTATTGATTCTACTCCAGATACCTTTCTCAACTAATTCGTCCTACTCTTAAAACCTACTTAACTATTGATCCTACTCCAGATACCTTTCTAAACTAATTTGTCCTACTCTTGAAACCTACTTAACAATTGATCCTACTCCAGATACCTTTCTAAACTAATTCGTCCTACTCTTGAAACCTACTTAACTATTGATCCCACTTCAGATACCTTTCTAAACTAATTCGTCCTAATATTGAAACCTATTTAATTTAACTATTGATTCTACTCCAGACAGTAGACACCTTTCTAAACTAATTCGTCCTAATCTTGAAACCTACCTAACTATTGATTCTACTCCAGATACCTTTCTCAACAAATTCGTCCTACTCTTTGAACCTACTTAACTATTGATCCTACTCCAGATACCTTTCTAAACTAACTCGTCCTACTCTTGAAACCTACTTAACTATTGATTCTACTCCAGACAGTAGACACCTTTCTAAAGTAATTCACCCTACTCTTGAAACCTACCTAACTATTTATTCTACTCCAGATACCTTTCTAAACTAATTCGTCTTACTCTTGAAACCTACTTAACTATTGATTCTACTCCAGACGCCTTTCTAAACTAATTCGTCCTACTCTAGGTATCTGCTGAGACTGGTCCAAGATATGATTCTCCTCTGTGTTCCGTTCTACCAGACTGTCCTCCTTCAAGTGAAAAGAAGCTTACCAACAACTACAACAAGGCCCTGGTCTTAGATTACTCAGATTCAAGGTATATATTAACTAGTCTTTGGTCTTCTAGACTACTCAGACTCAAGGTTTATACTTACAAGGACCTGGTCTTAGACTACTCAGATTCAAGGTATATATTAACTAGTCTTTGGTCTTCTAGACTACTCAGACTCAAGGTTTATACTTACAAGGACCTGGTCTTAGACCACTCAGATTCAAGGTATATACTTACGAGGACCCATGGTCTTAGACTGTATTTACTCACAAGCAGTGCATAGGATCCATTTAATTTTGATGCGGATCCGGATCCGGATTGAGGTTATTTCCTAAAACCATCTGAATTTTTGTCTTATTTGTTCACTTATTTTTATGAAATTTAATCTCTCTTTTTTCAATAGTTAAGATTTGGGGGTTGAGAGTAATTTTTTTGCAGTTTTTGTTGATATTTTGCCCCCTGGATGCGGATGTAAAATATTTCAAAGTTCTAAATCTCTTTTTTTATCCAAGAAATTCCAAAATTATTGAAATGAACAATGCTCAACCTTATATTTTTCGGCA